CTAGGATTACTTGAGGGTTAGTAAAATACAGCCTAATTTTCATTTTTGGGTGAACTAACCCTTTAAGTTTGTGCTGACAGCAGTCGTTAGATCTCTGTTTCTTTTTACAATCCTCTTAGGACAAAAAGTGAGCTAACACTATGCTGACCATTTAAATCTCTGAATGTACATCACCCTGTTTTACACAAGTGAGCTGTCTGCTTACATGGGCTAAATACAACACTAAAACATCCTCATTTAAAATGACCCTTTATTAGTAAGGAATGAAAAATACAATATCCTCCAGAGACCCAGCGATTCATTTTTGTCCTGTGTTAAGGATGTAACTTCCTTTGAGACTATACATACCATAGTTTTGTCAGAGATACTGACAAATGTCGAAAAGAGATGATAAGAAAAATAAGAACTTTCGATGTATTCATTTGTGATTATTACTTTATTATTTCAAGTTTGGGATCAGTACGTTTTTTTTATATTCTTTAAGAAGTCTCTTATGCTTATCAAGGCTGCAAAAAGTTAAAAAGAACAGCATTTAATTAAAATCTAAATCTTTTGTAACAATGTAGGTCTATACTATCACTTTTTATCCATTTAACATATCCTTGCTGAATAAAAGTATTACATTCTTAAAAATATAATATAAAGACCCAAACTTTAGAATCTTAGTGTATGTATATACTTACAAAATGGTAGTGTAGTGTATATTGTTACAAAAGATTTATATTTTGAATAAATGCTGTTCTTTTTAACTTAATTAATAAAAGAATCCTGAAAAAAAAGTACCACAGGGTTCCAAAAAATATTAAGCAGCACAACTGTGATAATAAATCATTGATAATAAATCAGCATATTAGAATGATTTTTGCAGGAGCATGTGACACTGAAGACTGGAGTAATGATACTGAAAATTTAGCTTTGATCACAGCAATAAATTACATTATAAAGTATATTAAATAAAGAAAAAAAGAAAGAAAAATCTTACTGATCCCAAACTTTTGAATGGAATTTTTTGTTTGTTTGTTTGTTTTTGGGATCCTTATTATTTTTACATGAGTAGACATGTTAAAAAGAAAAGAATAGCTAAGCTAAAAATCAATTTCTGTTTTTCTGTAGTGTCTTGCATATATACACCAAAACACACGTAAACATATTAGAAAATATATTTAATATATCGGTCAAGCACAGGAAAAACACTGTTCATTTGTTTTAACACACTCAGATGCAAAGTGATATAACACACCTGTTTTTTATGCTGTGAGCTCTGAGCAGGAACGATGCAGTCATCGCTGTCATCATCCTCACCCTGTACATCTGCAGAGACAACAGAGCATTTTCTTTATTATGGTTACTTGATAGTACAGATTATAAAGCACTAGAAGATCATTAGTGGTCGACTGATATATCGGCCTTGGCATTTTTCAAATATCGGCATAGGCCGATAAGTTTTTCTGTGTGGCCGATGTGATCAAGGCAGGACTTTTATTTTGACGGCAGTGCCTGAGCACGCAGCGCTCACATTCTCCCCCGTGATTGTTTGCTGTAGCCATTTAAAGGGATCATATGATGCGATTTCAAGTTTTCCTTTCTCTTTGGAGTGTTAGAAGTTGATTGTGCATAGATAAGATCCCTGAAGTTGCAAAGACTAGTCTCAAAACCAAAGAGATATTCTTTAGTGTGTGGCATCGTGTGTGTGTGTGTGTGTGTGTGTGTGCGCGCGCGCACGTGTGTGTGTGTGAGAGAGAGAGAGAGAGAGATGGCGTCACATCACAGTAGAGTCAGCTGTCTTAACCGCGGCTTGTGTACTGCATCATTACTGTGTCTGTTCCCCTTTCGGGCTTGAACTGATGGTAAAACTAATGACATTATTTACTGTCTTTACATTTATTTTGAAAGCTGAAGCTGCGATTATGGTAAGGGGCGTTACATTTCCGACGCGTGCTTGCGGTGTTCGGCCAATCACAATGCACTGGGTCAGCTGACCAATCAGAGCAGACTGCGCTTGTCAAAGGAGGGGGCTTTGTTGAAAACGAAGCGTTTGAGAGAGGCGGGGCATAGAGGACCTACAATAATGTACAGTATTTTAAAAATAATGTGTTTTTTGAACATTAAAGCATGTCAACATATTCTGTTACACCAAATACACAAAATAATTATCTTTAAAAAAGCATCATATGACCCCTTTAACAATTCTCTCTAACACGGATAGAAGTCTGTCTAATAAGGTATACAATAAAGTATTATTATAGTATTATTATCGCGAATTGAATGCGGACAGGAGGAGAGTTGGAGACGTGCCTGATAGCACACGTACATCACAGAGACATCTATTTGACGTCTGCATTTTCATCTGCAAGACATATTTTTTAGAGTGTTTGATCATGTGCAATACATCTACAGGACGTTTCCTATTAGATGTCAAATAGATGTTTAGAAGATGTCTTTAAGATGTTTATAAAACTGACATCTTAAAGACGTCTATCAGATGTTTCTACACAGCAGATGCTTTCCAGATGAAGAGATCTATAACAGACATCCTGCAAACTCGTGATTTCAAACTATGCTGCGCTTTATCCATTCGCCCAACTGTCAAATTCACTTCATTTTCACTGTGTGCTCTATGTAAAATAAGTGTTACCTTGGGTTTATTTGAGAAAAAAAAAAGTACTCACACCGTCTACAACGTCACTATGGATCGCCCCAATCGGCCTGACGGGGGCGCTACAGTGATCAAGAGTACAAAATCGCTCATAACTCCTAAACTGTTGGTCGCAGTCTCAAATGTCTTAAGCCGGGCATACACTGCGATTTTCATCCGATTTTGAGCCGAATTCTGACTCGTGCGACTTTTTTGAGTTGGGTGAATTTCAGCTTTGTCATGCATCATTTGTCGTGCAGTGTTCGTGTAGTGTACATGAAGAAACGAGAACCTTTTCCAACCGGAAATCGGATGGTCGGATGAATTTCTGACATGTTAGAAATTTTGGTCGCCCCTCTTGTGAGGGTATCGCACAGTTGAAGCAGAGCTACGAACCGACTGCCCTAAACTCAGTGCTTTTTTCCTCACTGTGCCTGCGCAAAAACAGAACTTAAACCATTTAATCTTTAATACAGCAAGAAAGAAAACGAAAAGAGGGAGATCTTTATAAATTCAGTCGCTATTAAACTAGCTGCGATTGAGCAAACAGCTGCTTACCTCCAGTTCGAGTTGCAGAGTGGATAAATCATATGCTCACATCTTTCAAGCTAACTCATCTATATACTCCAACTCCTCTTTTATTAATGTACTTAATCATTAATTTATTTGTTTATTTGCAGTTATTTAATATTTACTCAATGTTATTATCATGGGAAATGTGAACCATTGTCCATCATTTTGCAATTTATTGATAAAGACAAACACTTTGCAAAATTAAAAATTTTGCAGTTTTAAACCATGAAGGCGAGCCTGATATACAACTGATATAAAACAGAATTGAAGTATTTCGTGTTAAACAAGTTGTTTTTGAATTTCCTTGTCTGAAATGAAGCTGCTTTTATTTTCATTGATGACTGATTTACAGTGTTCAGTCATAGGCTATTTTAGACTGTTAAGAATTTTAATTATAGGCCTATTCATTGTATAATAGATCTAAATGTTTTAAATAATTTTCAATGAGGAGTAAGCTAATTTAATCTTTTATTATCCTTGCTGTGCGTCAGTTGTGCGATAATGCTCTGAAATTATTGTGGGGCAACACTGTCTAAAATAGACGATAAGAAAAATAATAAGAACATTCGATGTATTCATTTGTGATTATTACTTTATTAATTCAAGTTTGGGATCAGTAAGTTTTTGCATTCCTCGGAAAGGGATGCCAAAATGTTCGAAAAATCAAATTGTTCATTAATTATTCAAGAATATCTAAAAAACCTACTTTTGCGAACTAGTCCTAGGTTTTTCGCTCAATCTCAACCAAACCACTGCAGTACAATTCTCTGGACTCTCTAGGTCAATAATTATCAAAAAAAATTGAACTTTTGCATTTGGACAGCTATAACCGGGTCGTTTATAATATGGGCGTGGGCAAATATACCCCAAAGTCCATAAATCCTAAACTAAAATATGAAACTTCATAAAACTAGGTGAGCACATTCGACATATAATTCTAAACAAGCATGCAAAGTTGTATGCAGATCGGACCATGGGTGGCGCTATAACCACCATAACGGTAAATAAACATCATATTTCTATGGTAAATTACCTGGAATTGCCAAAAATGCTCTTTTTAGTCAATGATTTAGCTAGTTACAGGCTTGCTAAATAATATGTAATGTTTTTTCTTATGTGCTTAAATGCCTTAAAGTGCTTGAACCCCGATTATCGCTGCTTGAAGCTATATTTTTAAATATTTCTTTATTTGTGAAAAATACTGTCATAGGATTACAAAATCAAGATGTCATCTAAAGTATAAGTGTTTATTTGACACATTTTTTATTCATTTTCAAATTACTTAAATATTAATTAAAATAAGGATTTATATATATATATATATATATATATATATATATACACACAGTACCAGCTTTATATCGGCCATCAGCCACCATGCTCTCTAAGATATTGGGCATCGGCTGTCAAAAAACCAATATCAGTTGACCACTAATCATTAGATGGATCATTCCTAGTCTGGTTTCGTGAAGGGTTTGGGTTGTTTATTTTCTTGTCATCCACCTCTCGTTTTGGTCTTAAGTGGCCCGCAGCAGGTAAGAGAGAGATGTTAGACATGAACATTTTAAAGACAGCCTCTTGGCCAAGGTCAACACACATTAACACCTATGTTGTGGGTTGTCAACAGGAAACACATCAGATTATTGGCAGCAGCGAATTAAATATTAATGATTCTCGTCTCATTCAAAAAACAATAGCACAGCTGCTTCCTCATATGAAACTGAATACTAACGCACAGCACTAAGTATTGGTTAACCAAAACATTCACAAAAAACATCCTGCCCACAATAACAAACAAAACACAAACTTTTTATACTAGAAGCACTTTAAGTTTGTGGTAACATGGAATCTAATTAGAGTTTAAATTAAACACTGATCCTAAAGCCTTCATAAAAATGAAGTTCTGTCATTATTTAGTCACCTTCATGTTGTTCCGAACATATGTGACTTCCTTGCTTCGGTGAAACACAAAATGAGATGTTTTGAATTATGTTCAAGCTGCTCTTTTCCATACAATGAATCTGAATTGCGGAAAAATGCTGCAGAGCTTGAAAAATGATATGCAAACACAAATGAGCTTTAATAATGAAAGCGTGCAAGATTTTTTTTTTTTTTTTGCCACCCCCATTTCCTTTTTTTTTTTTTTTTTAAGAAAAGAGCAGCATGAACATTGTTTAAATGTATTGTTAAAAAATAAATAAATGTATTATGTGTTTCACACAAAAAGGAAACGTGGGTTTGGAATGATATGAAGGTGATACAAAAATTATAAATAAATAAAAAAATCATTAAAAAAATAAATAAATAAAGAAAATGTTTTATCACTAAACTTGTTTAAATATTATAGCCTGGCATGCTTAGACAAATCAAATACTAACGGAAAAAATGAAAACATTATTTCTGGCTGAATATTTGTGTTTCACTTGGAAATGTGTAATATTACCAATGTTAAATTATGTTTTATGCTTTAAAAGATTTTAATTTCCGTAACTCTAAACAGACACACCTGTTAGTGGCTCTTGCAGCTCCTCAGAAATCTCAGACTCATCAGACTGAGAACTGGCGGTGATCACCTGACCCTCAGAGAAATGAGACTCTTCCTCATCCTCTTCCTCACTGACTGCAGTGGCCTCTCCTGCTTCCAGCACTATGACGGTCTGAGGAGCACAGCGTCACATATTGTTTATTACTGAACTTTTTTTTTTGCCTATTGTATTCCTATTAAACTGTAAATTTCACAGTATTACGAGTGTACCTTTGGTGCAGGGGTCACAGATGATTTCGGCTCTTCATCATCACCTTCATCAGAGGCTGTAGTCTGCTCCATCTTGTGATTATTAATACAAACACGCAAAATACATAATCAAAACACCACATACAGAATTGCACAAATGGTACAAGATAATACTCAGGGTTAATGAATGCCTTAATTTGAGCAACAGTAATAGCAATGCTTGACTTAGCAAACACCACTAATAAAACAGAGCAGACTTTTCTTTTACCTGTTTTTCAAGCTCTGTAACATCCACAAAAGAAACTCTTTTAGTAGTTGATTTTGGTAGAGTTCGCTGCCTGGGTTTGGGCATTGGAGCCTATAGTATGACGAACAAGAAAAAAAAAGATATATATTCTACAATGACAAAACAGCAAAAAGCATTCAGCATTGATTTATGTATGGACCGGGACGTTTTGGGGATACATGACCTCAGAAACAGTGGGCTGAGGTATTAGTGGAGGGTCTTTGGTCATCAGTTGTGTCTCTGTCTGTCTCTCCGGTGTCATTCTGCCAGTGATCGTGGTCTGTTGTGTGGTGATAGCCGAGGATGTTGGAGGAAGGTACGTGAACTTCCATTGCAAAGTCACACTGATTTGGCCGCTTGGAAGTCCCTCAGGGTCTGTGAGCTCAAACATACCTTAAAAAAATACAAATAACAATAAAAATACCAATTTTAAAAGGTGTCTTTATGTCGAAATAAATAAATAAAACTAATCTTAATCAGCAGTCTTGTCATATTTTCCAGCAAAAATATCTAAACATATCTATAACAAGATAAATTTGCCTAAGAAGCAATTGCATTGGCTAGTTTTTTAGAAAATAATCTTGATTTTATTTTTATTTTATTTTATTTTTCCCCCACCTGTTTTAGGTCAATAACCTCAATAAATATATTATTTTACTACTGCATATTTTATATGTTTTGCAGTGTTCCTAAACAAACACTCAATATTTTTGCTTCTTTGACACAATCTATATTGTATAAAGCGCAATATAAATAAAGGTGACTTGACTTAAAATATATATTTTTTTTAATTCAAAATAGAAATATTTGCTCAAAATATAAAATATTAGATTTATTCATTCATTCATTCATTCATGCATCAGTCCAAAAGAAGTTAAATAAAAAGCGCCATCCATAAAATAAAGTGTCTCACACGGCTCCGGGGGGTGAACAAAGGCCTCCTGTAGCGAATCGATGCGTTTTTGTAAGAAAAATAACCATATTTAATAAGGAAACTTTGCTTCCTTTGCTCCTGTTAACAAACGTTGGTTTTCACGAGACTCACTGGCGCATGCGCAACGCCGACATCTTACGTCATGCTCCCGGAGCTGCTTCTGTGTACAACTGTTTGCGCAAGCTACATTAAAGTGATTATTACATTTTGAATATGGATATTTTTCTTACAAAACGCATCGATTCGCTACAGGAGGCCTTTGTTCACCCTCCGGAGCCGTGTGAGACACTTTTTTTATGGATGGGCGCTTTTTATTTAACTTCTTTTGGATTGATGCATGCAACACCCGCTGAGTGGCATTAAACAGCTTGAAAGATCAAAGACCATTTTTAATATAACTCCGACTGGATTCGTCTGAAAGAAGAAAGTCATATACACCTAGGATGACTTGAGGGTGAGTAATTTGTGGACTAATTTTCATTTTTGGGTGAACTAACCCTTTAATGTTTGAAAATCAATCAAATTCAGTCTATGTATGTCCTCACCAGTGATGGTTTTATCGTGAGCCAGCGAGATGAGCGGTACTCTGGCCTTCCCCAGATACAGCTGGTTCTCAACATCCAAATCATCAAACACATAAAACACCAGAGCCTCTGACCTCAGGAGCACATCGAGGTCAGAGTTCATGGCCACCGGGAAGACCATGTGATCTTCAAACTGCGGCTCATTGGTGGAGGATATGATTGGAGTATCATGGTCAGGGAAGTCGTAGAGTTTGTAGATGATGTAGGGGCTGGGTTGGGTGTGAGGACCTCTGGATCTGAGATCACAGCAGGAGTGTATGGTGATGTTTAGTTCATTTAGATCCCCATCCATCAATGATGGGCAACTAGGGACCGGAACAGATAAAGCCTGAAGAATAAAGAAAAAAGATCAAGTAATTTTAGCATGTTTCAAAGCAGGAAATGGTGCCCTAGATGGGGTTGTAAACTGTACCTGGCTGTCCCTCATGCTTGTGTTGAGGTAACCAAGAGCTTTGACTCTCTCCTTATAAAGGCGAATGGCTTGTTCCATAGGAACCCTGAGTTTGAGCCAGTACTCTAGAGCACCAAACACCTGGATCTCATCTGTTACACCTACAAACAGATGGAAACCACTATAATGAAAGCTTTATGGTTCGTTTTGTCCTTTTAGGCAGTTTAAATCACTTTCCACTTTCATTAACTCTTAAAAAAATAAAGGTTTCAAAAGATTGTTTTTGCAGCAATGCCATAGAGGAACCATTTTGGGTTCCAGAAGAACCTTTTTTTTCTTAGTGTTAAGGACATTTTAATAATCAGAAGAACCTTTTTCCACTATAATTAACCTTTTGTGCAATGAAACGTTTCCATGGATGTTGACGAAACATAAATGCCAACAAAGAACCTTTATTTTTAAGAGTGTTGTGTGCAAAAGAGCAGCTTGAACATTCTGCTATACTTCTCCTTTTTTTGTTCCTCAAAAGAAAGACAGTCATGTAAGTGAGTTTTCATTCTGGGTTGAACAATTCCTTTAATATCAACTAAAAGACCCATAGTGGTCAACCTCTCCAGGAAAAACGTCCTTTACACCAATATCAGACTCACCGACTAACTGAATGGTGCCAAACACCTTCCCATCTCGTTCCAGCAACTGATTTAACCTGAGCTGACCAGCAGCCACCGTGCAGAAGCTCAAGCCCTCAGCGAGCTGAACCTCCACCGTAACTGAGCTGCTGTGGAGATAGTTCAAGAAGAGATCGTCCACCCTCATGAGATACTGAGACGTGAGGCCGTACGCTGGATGGGCACCTCGAACCACAGCTGTGGACTGCAGCTCAAAGTCATAGAAGGCGTATGTGCAGAAGGTGGATGGATCTTTGTCCTTTAGACTCTCTACAGCTTCAGGAGAGAACTGCGCTCTCCCCAAGTGAATTTCCAGAAGGTTCTCGCCTCGAGCCAAGCGGAGGCTTTCATCAAACTCATCTGTAACACCATTGCTGGTCACATCAGGTCTGAACACATGGGTCTTGGTTCCATATGCAATGTCTTTCAGCTGGGCTGGAAGGACACAGGAAGAATTAGTTTTACTAAGCATAACTGCAAACATCGGGAATCTGAAGATCATGTGTTGGATGCAGCTAAACCTTCAAGTTTCTTTATCTTGGCAGCTCTCATGTCCAGAAGCTGAGCCAGCTTCTCCGACTTCAATTCATATTCAAGTTTCAGATCGTCCATCACACGAGTGACAGCTTGAACCTCAGCCTACAACAATACAGACGTTTAAAGATATTAGCCATGTGTGACCTATATCTATATGTGGAGGAAAGCAAACCCTTGAAGTTACTGTAACATGAAATGAAGTGCATAACACATTTTACTACTATTAAATTGTTGTAGTCGAGACCGACAAATTCGAGTCGGAGTTAGGGCTGCACGATTAATCGCATGCGATATTTTACGCGCATCTTATCAGTAAAGCCGGTTCTGTAATCAGCGGTAAATCTCCATCACCTGCGTGCTTTCACATTGAGCAGCATTAACTACACAGAGCCGTTGTTCACTGACGAGCTGCGCTAAACCACGTTCATATTCGCGCGATTTTTTGCGCTGCTCATCAGTGAACAACGGCTCTGTGTAGTTAATGCTGCTCAATGTGAAAGCCCGCAGGTGATGGAGATTTACGCTGATTACAGAACCGGCTTTCTGACAAGATGCGCGTTAAATATCGCATGCGATTAATCGTGCAGCCCTAGTCGGAGTCCAGGCTGAATAAAGTAAATTGAGTCCACGACAAGACAGAGACCCTGAAAATATGGTCTCAGACTTGAAACAGACTCTACAATACTGGTCCATTATGCGATAAAAATGTACAGCAAGATTTGATTTTATCAATTGGGAATCAATTTAATTGTGAAAAGTGTGTTTCATACCAAAATAGAGTGTAAGCTGGAAGTCTGGAATTGGATGTGAATTTGCAGTTTCCTTAAACACCACCAGCCCCTACTTTCATATGGCTAAAGGTCAAGTTTACCCTCAAGTGCATCTGGGCACAGTGCGAATGGTAGGGCTTCTTTCAAATCTACTGCTATTTTCTATTATTTCTGAAAGCGTTATTACATCAAAGTTGACCAACATTAAATCCCTGCAGTACCTATTAAGATTTTAGAAATACTGACCAGGAATATGTTTTAATGACTGAAGTAAAGAGAGTACAGTTTGATTTCATATTGAGTTCTGGATAACAGATAGTGATGATTATCTAAGGTCTGTTAGGGTACTTACACACTAGCACTTTTGGTGCGCACCCAGGTTCGATTGACGTCAGAGTTGTGGGCAAGAGGAGAACTTAGATAAGGTTTGTCCAAGAAGTTGCTTTATTTGTCCCTAAACTTTTGAAAAAAGTCTCAAAAGGGGCGGGGAAGTCGCTAAATCTAGCTACAAAGTAGCTAAATTCAAGTACTGCTCACTGCAGAGCCAAATGACCTCCAGCTCCCCCTCTCTGGATGTCCAGCTCCACCTCTGTGTGAACTAATGGGTGGAGTTATGTTTAGCGATAGGGTAAGGGGTAGGGTTAGGGAGTGGTTGGGTGTCTAGCTCCACCCATTACATCCAGCGAGGGGGAGCTAGAGCGCCAGCTCCTCCCATTTGGCTCTGCAGCGAGCACCCTCTCATTAAAGCTGCGACAGTTGAGTGCATGAAGTGTCCAACATTCCACACTTCATTTTGTAGGTTAAGTGCATCATCCGGGTATTTAAAGTGCACTTTTTCTTTTTTTTCAGTGTGAGCGCATTACTCGCACTATTTATACTACAAAACGTCATAGAATAGTGCATAAGTACGCGATTTGGGACACACCTTGTGTTTGTGAGTGTTCCATTCACTTTCCTGACGAGCGTGACTGACGCACTGCAAACAGAGAGCTGTATATCTCATTTCTGTTCGCCTTCAGCGTTCTTTAGAGCATTTGCAGTACATTCGTAAGACAGACGTAAGTGCCGTTATGTACCAAGA